TTAATTAATTTCCTTGGCTATGAATGGTCTTTTTTTTAAGATTCCTCCTTTCTTGATTTCTCCTAGGAGAGTTCATGGAACTTCTTGTGTGGTGAGAGATTATTATGGTGTGGGTTCCAGGTGCCACCCCCCCCCCCCCCCCCATGCCCCCTTATTTATATACCTAAGAGTCCCAATTGGGGTCCAAATACTATGGGCTTGCTAATTCTATTCCTTATAGGACTAGGGGATTGGTTTTAGGGATAAGGGCCCATGGACTATGGTGGGCCTTTTCCTAACTAATTACTGGAATTTAATTCTTTCTTTTGGGTAAATGATTAAATGATTAATTGGTGTTAGGGGTCGTAACACGGGGTGTTACAAGTATTGTATCAATAATGTTGTGACCTCTAAATCTTTTGGTTGTAGACTTGATTAGTCAATAATGAAGTTAACCTTTTAGATTGCTTCATATAGTTGAATGTTTATGGATTTCTGAGGTAATCTTTTGTTGAGTTGTGGGCTACTTAATGGATAGATGTTTGGGCCTACCCAATCCTTATTGTTTAATATTTTGGATTTTGGATCTAGTAGTTTAGCCTTGTACTCATCCAAGAGTGGATGACTGTGACAGTAACATTCTCCGTTTAGAGTTTAAGGATTCCAGTTTTGTCTTGTTTAATATAATCTTTCTGTCCTTTCCGCTGTGTAATCCTATAAGTTATCTAGGCTCTAGTGTTATAAAAATGGGGGTGTTACAGTTTCGTCTGAGACTTAACCCCTCAAGTAACTCCTCGGTTAGAGACTTGACCTCCTTCGAGTGTACATTCGGTTGAGCACATATTAGCCACTCGGTTAAGATTCGAATGTTGAGTAGACTTATTCTAAGTCTAGGAAATAAAAAAATATTAGGTAGGGGGGGGGGGGGGGTCTAAACTCCTAAGTCTGCAGGTATCATGTATCGCGTTTGCCCCTCCCCGCCCCCCCCCCCCCCCCCCCCCCGCCCCCCCCCCACAATTATTTTAAAATTGATGATTATTCCCTTTCCCTATTAACTAGGTATTTCATTTTTTTTTGAGGAAAATAACTATTTTGGTCCCTCAATTATTTTCCAATTGTCAATGTAGTCCCTTGTTTTCAATTTCAACTAATTTGATCATCGAATTTAAAATTTTTTCATTTAAACCCTTTTGAGGGACTAAAAATGGTGATTTCTCTATTTTTAAAATTTTGTTAATTTTATCCTCGAAGGATTTAATAGACGAAAATTTAAAAAATTCGATGATCAAATTAGTTGAAATTGAAAACTAAGGACTACATTGACAGTTGTGAAATAATTGAGAGACTAAAATGGTTATTTCCCCTTATTTTTTTCTCTAATAAATTATTACTTATATGTTGAAATTTGAATAAATACGAAAAAAAACAAGCACCATTTACAAATATTATTATTATTATTATTATTATTATTATTATTATTATTATTATTATTATTATTATTATTATTATATTTTTAACCTAATGCTATCAATAGAATTAAGACTTAAACACAAATAATTCATTATTTCTAAATTTGTGATTAAGTTTTAATTCTGTTACTAGCATTAGCTTAGAATTATAATTATAATATTTATAAATGGTGTATGTTTTTTTTTTTTTTTTTTTTTTTTTTTTTTTTTTGCATTTATTCTGATTTCTCACATATAAACAATACTTTGTTGGAGATGGAAAGTGGCTTGGAATACATATTTTGCTTTTATTTTTTATAATCCAAAAACTTATTTAACATGGAAGGGGAACAATTGTCACTTTTAACATAATACACATCAACTCTGATCTTAACATAATACGCACAAATTTTCTGATTCGGATATACATAATTGTATAAAAAGAATGTACATAATTGTATAAAAAATGTACATAACTGTATGAACAAATACACATAATTGTGTGAACAAATACACATAATTGTGTGAACAAATACACATAATCACAGCAACTTCCTACCGCGCCTCCCAAAACGACCCAAAAACGAAGTCGTTTTGGGAGGCGCGCGGCGCACAGTGCTACGCGCGCCGTGGTGTAGGGTATAACGATTGAATTCTTCTTGATTTTCCACAAATAATAAATCCATGATCTTTTCCTTACCAGCGACAGTGTGGGAGCAACCTCTCAAAGTGAAGGGGGTTCCTTGTGCGCACTGAGCACATGTCTAGTCTCTGTGGTTCATGCATGTTCAGTTGAGTTACCATGATTTACATTCTCTCAAATGCTCCGTCGGGTCGAGGTGTGGGGGCCCTTAGAATTGAAGTTCAGCCTTTGGAAGAATGATCTTTTCCTCACTAATAAAATAAATAGCATTACATATGAGAAATTAATTATACTTTATTGCTACTAAATTTAGTTCAATTGTCTTTTATTATTAAATTGTTCATCATGTTATTTATAATCATAATCTATTTTGTTTCCATGTACGTATAGGAGTTTTTTTCTCCTTTCAAAAAAAAGAGTTTTTTTTTTTTTTAATTATTCAAATAATGGATATATTATTATTATTATTTTTTGTTTTTTTTGTTGTTGTTTTTTTATTTGTAGTTATCCATATTCAATATAATTACTTGTAATTATTAATTTATACTATCTAAATATCATTTTTTAAAAATAAATAGCTAATACCTACATAATCAAATCTAATAATTTACTTATCATAGATAAATAATATCTCAATAATCAATAAAATATGTAATTAAAAATAATTAGATGATTTTACTGATTATCTAGGTATTAACATGTAATCATTTATAGATATTTAGATGATTAATAAAAAGAAAATAGTGCCAAAAATATACCAAGTGAAATTTTGATATCCAAAAAGAAAAAATAAATAGAAGAAGAGTTTATTCATTTCCTTAAATTTTTATTATAGTGACATTTTTACTTTTGATCCTTTAGTTTATTTATTCACTTTAAGTTCTCATGTTTTTTTTTTTAAATCATTTTAGTTTAAATGTATAAAACACCCATAAATACAGAAAGATGAAGGTTTCATAAAGTGAAGATATTCTGAATGTCTTGAACTAAAAGTAGGCGATTTTAAAATCAATAATTAAATAGAAAAGTGTCAAATAGACCCTCAAACTTTAGCTGAAAAGTCAATTAGCCCCCTAAATTTTTTAAAAATACAATTACACACATCAACAATTTATTTTAATGCAATAAGACCCAAAAATGGATTAATGACTGCTACCACAGGTTATTAGGGTTTTGGTATCTCTCCAGTGAAATTCCGACAGAATTTTAGCCAAAAAGTGACCGGCAACCTGCGAACGGTCGATGGTCACCAAGAAGACCTTGCGACCAAAGTCGCCTCCTCCGCAGAGAAGGCAACCACTGGGTCGCCTTTTCCGGCAAGAAGGCGACCCAGATCTAGTTCGCCTTCTCTAGTGGTCGCAGAGAAGGCGACCCAAATGTGGTCACCTTCTCCAGTTGAGAAGGCGACCTTGGTCGCAAGGTCGTCTTCTTCGTGACCGGCGACTGTTCACATGCCGCCGGTCACTTTTTGCTTGAAATTCTGGTAGAATTTCGTCGGGAAGATACCACAGGTCATTAATCCGTTTTTGGGCCTTTTTGCATCAAAATAAATTGTTGATGTGTGTAATTGTACTTTTAAAAAATTTAGCAGACTAATTAACTTTTCAACTAAAGTTTAAAGGCCTATTTGACTCTTTTTCTATAATTAAAATTGTAACAAATTAAACCAAACTCAGGATAGGTTCCTACCTAGGGTTTCTAGGGTTCTTCGGTCGCTTCTTCGACGTTTCTTGCGGATTATTTTTCCGATCGCGATAGCAAGCTTCGACACACGTCGCTGCATTCTAGATGGCATCGACGGCTGGACAAGATGTGGAGGGCCTAACGGCCAGGTGGGCCGACATCGTTCTTGAGGAGGAAGCCACGGCTTTCTTGCCGGATGTTGGGGACGACGCCGAGGGGGTGGCCAGCGAGGTGGCGGAGAGCTGGGGGGTGGTGGGAAGATTCTTGACACGAAAGCTAGTCAGGTTGGAATTTATGAGTCAGGTTCTGGCATCGGTATGGCAGCCGGTGAGCGGGGTTGAGGCAACGGAGGTTGAGCCGGGTCGTTTTTTGTTTGTTTTTCATCATATAACAGACATGGAACGCGTCCTGAATGAGGGTCCCTGGTCTTTCGATAATAGTACGCTGGTGTGTAAGCAGGTCCCTAACGGAGTAATGCCGATTGATGTAGTGTTGGATACGGTGGACTTATGGGTACAACTGCATGGTGTGCCGAATGGATACTCGTCTAGCCGGATTCTGGAACAGATAGGAAATTTCTTGGGTACGTTTGTGAAGTATGATGATCGTTTTGACAATGCCCCGTGGAAGATGTATCATCGTATTAGGGTTTCGCTGCCTGTGGACAAGCCCTTGAAAAGACGGATGAACTTTATAAAACGTGATAAGAAAAGTTGTTGGGTCACGTTTAAGTATGAACGTCTCCATACGTATTGTTATTTTTGCGGGATGCTGGGCCACTCCTACCAATTTTGTCGTGGGGCAAGGGACTCGAGGATGCCGGTGGAGGAGTATTTGTATGGCCCGGAGCTACGGGCGGGTGGGAACCGTGGCCCTAGGCCGGTGGGGGGTAGTTGGTTGTTGCCGACGGGTCGGCAGGCCATGGGACGGAAGCCGCAGGCCGTCCGACCGGAGGAAGGGCGGGTTTCGGGGAGCACAGATCGGGCTGAGGGGGTGGTTGAGGGAGAGGTGGTGGCGGTGGCTAAGCGGCGCCGGGGGGAGATGGGTAGTGAGGGACGGAGGGGTGAGGGGGAGGATATTGTCATGACCGAGTTCTCAAAAAACTTGCAGCAGGCGGGTACTGGTTCCCAGACCCGCCCGGATCAATGAGTACTTTAAGTTGGAACTGCCGTGGCTTGGGTAATCCACGGACAGTTCGGGAGATTGTGGACATGGTGTCCAAAAAGCAACCCGACTTTGTATTTCTTATGGAGACTAAAGTGGCACGAGATCATGCGGAACGGTTACGTGTTAAGATTGGCTATGAAGGACTGTTTTTTGTTGACAGTGATGGTTTAAGTGGTGGTATAGCATTGCTGTGGAAGAAGAATTGTACGGCACGACTAATCAGTTACTCAACGAACTATGTTGATGTTGGGGTAACTATTGCAGGCTTTCCTGAATGGCGAATGACGGGATATTATGGGTTTTCTGAACGAACGAGACGCACTGAGTCTTGGGATCTTCTGAGAACGCTTTCGGGTAGGTCAAATCTCCCGTGGGTTGTTATTGGAGATTTCAATGATCTATTATATCAGAATGAGAAGAGAGGGGGAAATCCGCATCCGAACAGCCTCCTACGCGGTTTTGGGGAAGCTATTGAGGATTGTGGGCTTGCTCAGTTGCCTATGGTTGGCTATCCGTACACATGGGAGAAGGGGAAGGGGACAGTAAACTGGATGGAGGAGAGGCTTGATAAAGTATTAGTGACGGAGGAGTGGCGGAGTATGGTGATGGGGGCAAAGGTGATGAATCTGAGAACCCGGAAGTCCGATCATTCGGCTCTCTTTTTGGGGATCCAAGATTATACTAGTCTTGGGCCTCGTAGGAGAGGATTTCGATTTGAGATGGCCTGGTTGCACGATGAAGGGTGTAGGAGTGTGGTAGAGCAGTCTTGGCAGGAGGGGAGGGGCCAGGGATTGCAGAACTGCATTCAGTACTGTGGGACCCGGTTAACACGATGGGGTGGAGACCGGCATCATAAGTACGGAAAACGAATTAAGGAACTCACAAGAGAGCAGCACCGACTGAGGGGGCATACTGACCCGGCTTCCCTAGCTGAGTTCCGGCGTCTAGAGCAGCTGTTAAGCTGTACTGAAGCTCAGGAGGATGCCTACTGGAGGCAGAGAGCCAAACAACATTGGCTGAAGGAGGCGGACGCTAATACGAAGTTTTTTCACAGGTATGCCTCTCACCGAAAAAAGAAGAATACTATTTCTAGATTGATGAATGATAATGGGGTTTGGGTTGAGGGGGATCCTATGAAAAATATTATTCTGCAGTACTATAATGGTATCTTTTGTGCGGGAACCCCGGGAACAGGGGAGGAGTTTTTTGAGGGAATTATCCCGCGTATTACGCAGGCACAGAATGAGTCATTATTGCGCCCGTTTGAACTTGATGAGGTTAAATGTGCTTTATTTGCGATGTTCCCGGACAAGGCACCGGGCCCGGATGGAATGAATCCGGGCTTTTATCAACATTTTTGGGATGTGGTTGGGGGTGATGTGGCTACCTTTATAATAAACTATGTTGAAACCTGTGACTTCCCGCCTGGTTTGACTGAGACTGATATTGTTCTAATCCTGAAAAAGAAAACCCCGGAATATGTCACTGACTTACGGCCTATAGCCCTCAGTAATGTGGTCTATAGAGTTATGGCAAAAATGTTGGCTAACAGAACGAAGCCATTAATGGACGGAGTAATATCTGAGTCACAGAGCGCATTTATCCCGGATAGACTAATAACGGATAATATATTATTAGCTGCAGAAGTGGGACATTTTCTGAATAGGAAGCAATGTGGAGTGGGGGGATGGAGTGCTCTAAAGCTAGATATGGCGAAAGCATATGATCGGGTTGAATGGTCTTTCTTGCGAAAGATGATGTTAGCGCTGGGTTTTCATGCTGGTTGGGTGGAGGTGATTATGAAGTGTGTAACCTCTGTCTCATATAATATTCAGGTGAATGGTTCGAAGTGTGATCCAATTATACCCACTCGTGGAATAAGGCAGGGGGATCCTTTGTCCCCATATTTATTCATTATCTGTGCAGAGGGCCTATCTATGATGTTACAGCGGGCACATAATGTTGGATTAATACATGGCTGCAGGGTAGCACGAGGAGCCCCACCGATTTCTCACTTGTTTTTTGCTGATGATAGTTTATTGTTTTTTAAAGCAAAGGCAGAGGAAGCAACTGAGGTTAAGAAATGTCTGTCTGATTATGAGGGGTTATCTGGCCAGGCAATAAATTATCATAAGTCCAGTATATGCTACAGCAGGAATACTAGTAGCGAGGATAGGCAAAGTGTGGCTCAGATTCTGGGAGTGACACAGGCACCAAATTTTGGAAAGTATTTGGGACTTCCCTCTTTTGTTGGAAGACACAAGAAAGCAGTTTTTGCGTATGTGGAGGATAAAATTCGTCAAAGAATTGGGTCATGGAATAAAAAACTGCTATCACAGGCGGGGAAAGAAATCCTCTTGAAAACTGTAGCACAATCTATGCCTACGTTTTCAATGAGTGCTTTTTTGTTACCTGTATCGGTTTGTACGGCAGTGGAGAGGACAATGAATCGGTATTGGTGGGACTCTGGAACTGATAGGCGAATACACTGGAAGGCGTGGGATAAATTATGTATCCCGAAGAAATATGGTGGACTGGGGTTTAAAGATTTGCGGGCATTTAATCTGGCAATGCTAGGAAAGCAGGCGTGGCGAATGTTTATTAAGCCTGACTCTCTGGTCACACGCGTGTATAAGGCCAGGTACTTTCCCAAAGGAACTTTCTTTGATGCACAGGTGGGAAGTAATCCCAGTTTCTGCTGGCGGAGCATCATGGCAGCAAAGAGTATTATTTGTGGTGGGGTCAGGCGCAGAATAGGTAATGGGGAGGCTACATTTATATGGACCCACCCATGGCTACGGAATGACCATGACCCAATGATACAAACAGAAATGCCTATACAGTTACAACATGCCAAGGTGGCAGGTTTGATAGATCAGCAAACTGGTGCCTGGGATCCCTCGATTTTAACTGATTTATTTCAACCTGATGATGTGACAGAAATTATGAAAATACCCATATCCCCGGAATATGAGGATACCTGGTACTGGTATGGGGACCCAAGAGGGGAGTATTCTGTTAAGAGTGGATATAGGCAAATAATTGGAAATTATCAACAGACTAATGGGGCTTTTACAAAATGGTTGTCCCTATGGAAGCTAAGGATCCCCCCAAAATGGAGAATATTTCTATGGAGAGCCATTAGTGATATATTGCCTACTACTACAAATTTGCTTATAAGGAGGGTGGATGTGGATTTAAGATGTGCCATGTGTGGATTATCTCAAGAGGACACAATGCATGCTATGGTGTTGTGTGATTTTGCACGGAACGCTTGGGAAAAATCTAACCTTACAATCCCAAATATAATCACAAATATTTTTCATATTTGGTTTGATGAACTTCTAAATGTTCTAGACTCTGATGGGATATTCTATGCAGTAGCAATATTATACAATATTTGGAGAGCAAGGAACAGGGCCGTTTGGGAAGCAACTTTGCCGCGACCGGAGGTAGTACTCAAATCCGCTGCGGCTGCCATGCATGCATGGGTACGGGCGCACCCGCAGCCCACAATCCGAGCCACCACACAGCCTTTGCCGAGCGCGCTGCAAGGAAGTGCCGGCCACCACGCGACGTACCTGCCTGTAGCCGAGCCGGACGGACCTCCAAGGCGTATATGCCGTGTGGACGGGGGGGTATATGCAAGAGACAGGACAGGCTGCTATGGGCGTAATCTTGCTGGACACGAATGGAGGGTACGTCTCGGCGTACAATGGACCATTACATGGGTGTTCGTCGCCACTTATGGCTGAGGCACTCGCATGTAAAGAAGCATTGTCATGGTTGAAGGATCGGGGAGAGCAGAATGTTGACATCTACACGGACTGTCAGACACTACACCGTTATCTTACTACACCAGCTGTTATGCTGCGCACATATCTAGGCTATGCCATTGATACTTGCAGGCTTATTGCATCTTCGTTTCAGTCTTGTTCGTTTCATTTTATTCCTAGATTAGAGAATCACCTAGCTCATACTTTAGCTATTTCGGCTTATCAGCAGACCACAACTATGTATTGAGATCAGCTCCCACCGGATACTATTTCTGCCTATTTTTAATGAAGCATCATGAAAATTTTCAAAAAAAAAACAAACTCAGGAATTGAAAATGACAATGCATGTCAGATTATAATTATGAAATAAAAAATTGGAATAAATTTTAAGAAAAATAAAAAGAAAAACTAAAATAGTATTGCATCTTTTGATTGAGTTGGGCATTTAAAGAAAATAAAATGTCATCTATCCTAGTTGCCTTGTATCAAGGAACCAAAACATTGATAGTTGGGACCACCTCCCAACTCCCCTCCAATATAATAATTGACAAGCTCCACCTAAATCTATTTAAAAGTCTCGACTTGCATTAGATTCTACTTGTCCCACCTCTCCTGTTTGCGACTATTTCCGCTGTCACTTCACAAAACCATTTAAAAAATACACCACTTATTCAAGTCTGCATAATGCGTGCATACCAAATTATTTTGCAACCAGTAGTAGGGTGAAGGTACATGCTTGATTTGAAAGAAGATACTAACGTTTGAATTTCAAAGTTACTATACAGTATATAGTGGAAAGATCCCTTATACGTATCGATATTTGGCCCTGTTTGCTGAACCATTGAGTTATTGTGATTTACATTCTTCCAAATGATCTGTTGATCCAGGGTCTGGGGAATTTGGAGTTGGGGATTAAACCTTTTGAGAGAAGGTACATGCTTGACTTGGTACAATTTCAATTGATCAAATAATTTGTTTGATAATCATAAGATTTTAAATTTGACTCTCTAAGAGAATTGTCTGAGCTGATCAACTATGAAATAATTTATGAATAATTTAGATTAATTTACTTCCTTATAATCTATTGCAGATTAAGATCACAAGGTGAGATTTAATCAGAGCGTACATGCATTCGGGTAAGAACTGTTTACTTTCAAGTTTTAAGTATACTATAAGTCCAAAACCTTAGGTAAAGACAACCTGAACCCCTATTCAAGGTTCAATGCTAGATGGGGTTCCTTTGTCATGACTTCTTCTCTCTTTTTTTCTTTATTTTTTTTAAATGAAGTTTATTATTATTATTATAATTTTACCTAAGCAAAGATTCAAATTGGTAGCTTTAAATTTATTATTTAATATTACTTCGTCTTAACCATCATAACCCTTTGAAATACTAATTCAATTAATATATGAAAACATGAAATAAGTTTTATAATTAAACTTCATATAAAGATCCAATACTTTCTTTAAACTTCATATAAAGATCCAATACTTGAAAGGAGACAAATTATACGTTAACTATGGTCCACATTGCAATGTAACCACAGATAAATATTCATTTTTAGTATATTGAAGGTTCATTTTTAAGTACTAATGTAATATACCAAATAGTTAACATTTAATACTTAAAAAAAAAATTAAAATATTCAGTATACTAAAAATGAACATTATTTTAGTGGTTCACCTTACAAGGTGAATCATGAACCATAGTATAATGATGGTTGAAGGGACACTAGTCCAAGGTTAGTCCTAGAGGATTTTAAAAAAAATAAATTTTTAAGATATTGTTTTTATATATTGGCAAAAATTGAAATCCATAACTTCAAAGTTATACTTTATTATTTCTTTTTGCAATTAGCCAATACAATTTTTTGAACTATATATAATCATCGCATCATTCGTATTTTATATACATTAACTTCATATATCAATGAACTTTGTTTTTACTTTGCCTTAGGTCTATAAAATGGTAGGACCGATAGATCCTGATGAGCTATAAAAATTTAATGTGAATACTATGACATTTAATAGTTTATAGACTAATTAAGTCACATACATCTCACAATTTATTTCTTTCACAACGTCTTTATAGTAGAATCGATAAGAGCTTTTGAAATTTATGTGCCATTCTTGCATACGTAACGCCTTAGAATTGTGCTCAACAATTGCCAAATACTACGTGTTATCATTTCGTATTGTGGCCGGAATGAGAGTGAAACGTGCTCTTAAGGGCAAGGCGTGGAACTTTATTCTAGGTTCTCTAGGTAATGGCCTTTCATAGGTTACATATCATTTGCCTCAATTGACCTTTCATCAAGGATTCAAACTTTGTTATCAATACGTGTATCGCTTTGGTTTAGGGAATGATCGAGAACCAAAATGTAGCATACGCTTTAGGGAAGAAAGGTGAAGTTAAAGTGCTTTAGGTAGGCCATATCTTTTATAGATTTTATAAATTTATCATGTATGATTACGATAATTGGTGGCGTTGATTGCCCAAAGATGTAACACATATGTACTTATTTGTAGGGATGAGTAAACAGAGCTTTCGATAAACTACTCGTGTTCGTGTACGGTAATCGTTTGTTTATGTTCGTTTGTTAAGGAACGAACATTAATAAACAAAATTTAGAGCTCGGTTTATAAATGAACAGAGTTTGAACAGTTGTAAGCTCGTTTGCTAAGAGATCGTGAACAAGCTCGTTTTTGTTCGTTTAATAATGTTCGCGAACAAGCTCGTTTAGTGTTCGTTTAATAATGTTCGTGAACAAGTTTGTTTGTGTTCGTTTAATATTTGTTTGTATCCTCTTTGTAGTTGTATTACTTGTTTGGTTATTTTTCGTGAACATATATTATTTCTTGTTCACGGACGAATTGTGATAATTAACATGTTCGTATGTTTGGTTATTAGGCATTCATGAACGTGTTTATGAACGTGAATAAACAAGTTCGTGAACGTGTTCGTTAATGTTAACGAACATGTTCGTGAACGTGTTCGTTAATGTTAACGAACACGTTTGTGAATGTTAACCAACACTAACGCACGCTTAACAAACGAACACGAACAGAATTTTCAAAAACCTTAACAAACGAACACGAACGCTCCAAAAATCTTAACAAACGAACACAAACAACCTCCATTTGTTTATATTCGGTTCGTTAATAGTCCTACCAATTTGGAATAGGTAATATGGCAATTAAGTGATTAAAGTTTCTCATATTTGTAATAGATGAGGCATATTCGGCAAGTAATACTATAGATATTTTGGTGACAAAAGTTGCACATGACGTGACACAGTGTTATTATTATTTTGAATATTATTGACCTTGTTACAAGGTAGTATCTATTGTAGTTTAAAAAGTCAATATCTCACTACCAGAGTTCAATTCTGTGACCTTTTTTTAAGGGGAGTTACAGATGTGTTATCTGACCATAACGTGTTTGACACATAGTGTTATTATTGATTGTTCAATTAAGGAGTTCTATAATTCGATAATCAACAAGTCACTGTACATTTCTCCACTTGTCGATCAACTAAGGTAGTGCCCAGAGCCGGTTTTTAGATTTTTGTGGTCCTGTTCGGGTAAATAAATGAGACCCTACTAAAATCAAAATTTTTAAAATTAATACCGTAATTTTTTTAAATCTATACTATTCTAATCGAATATCAACCAAGGAAAAGCATATTCGGGGAGTGTTTCTCTCTAATGTAGAAACGGTCCCACATGTCCGTTTCTGCTCATACGAAAAATTTCAGTAGTGTTTTGCATTGATACGTATTTGAATGAATATTTAACAAATTTTGAAAGTATTAAAGAAATAGTAACAATTTTTTTAAATCTAAATATATAATAAAATTTTTTATTCGTGCATCGCACGTGCATTTCACGCGCACTGCACGGATAATTGGGTTATTGTTTGCTCGAATTCAAGCAAGGATAACATAAAAAAACATAAACGATACAACCAATTTCATCAATTGCACTATATAATATTCGTTGTTATAATTTATATTTGTATATTGATCAAAACATTTTTAAAGATTATAACAAATCTAAAATTTGAGCCCCTCTAAAATTTGGGACCATGTGCGGTAGCCCAACTTGCACAGCCCAAAATTCGGTTCTACCCTTTAGGCTAACTCCATCCTTGCAAATAAAGATTGCCTTGCAAGATGGGGTGACCTTTTTCTTTTCTTTTCTTTTTTTTTTTTTTAAGAAAAAAAAAAGAAATTCTACTTGCTTGTAAATTTTCATTGTTTCAAAGCTTGCAAATCTAACAATAGGCTGCCATTTTTTAAAATTATTATTGTATTATTAATTTGATGTGAAAATGAGATATACTTTTGAAAGTGAGTTAAAGTTTAAAATAAAAGGAATGGAAAAAAAATAGTGAAAAAGAATTATAAATTTAACTATATAGAAGTATGGTTATTTTTAAAGTAAGAAATTATTATAGGGATGAGAATAACTTTAGGAGGTAGAAAACCCCCATTCATGCTACATGTGATTCCCATTCATTGTTAGTAGTTAGGGGGTATTTAGTTGAAGTTATATAAGATAACTAATGTTATATTTGTTTGGAAATATAATATTATATTTTATGTTTGGTTCATGTTATGTAATTTTCTCATGAAATGTCGCATAACCTTCACATTAATGTTTTTAGCTATTGGAAGAGAATGTGAGATACCTTCAATTTCTTAAGTAATCTCACATTCCCTAATCTTATTACTAGTTTTGGTCTTTTGGCATTTTAATCAATTTGTTTTATTACTGTTGTCTTATTTACATACCTTAGCTTTAAACTAAACATAGGAATTTTGCATTCTCAATAATCTAATATTCTTAACAATCTAATATGCTAAGGTAATTTAACATTCCGTGAATGTAACCAAACGCCCCCTTAGTTAAATTTTATGAGATTAATATTTCCATAAAAATCTTTTGCTTTTTCAATTAGAACTCTTCTACTTTATGTACAGCCGTACAGGTAAGAGTGATGGAAGTCTACAAAACTTGCATTTATAGGGTTTAGGTTTATAGCACGCAATACAATTATTGAAAATAGTTTAGGATCTTATGAATAAATTTTGTTTGCATTTTGAGACTTTTTTTTTCTTGCTTTAATTTACTTGTGTTCAAGCATATTTAATTTCTTTTAATTCAAACTTATTTTAGTCTGGCTATCCATTATATCGCGTGAGTGAGAATGAAAGTTGACATATTTAATACGGAGTAAGATATATTACAAAAAAATCCTTCAAAAAAAAAAAGATATATTACAAAAATTTGAAAGTATCAAATCTTTTTAGGTGAGAGTGAGAATGTGACGTATTTGATAAGAATGTGACGTTTTTTTTTTCTTGCTTTAATTTACTCGTGTTCAAGTATATTTATTTTAATTCCAACTTATTTTAGTATGGTTCAGAGTAGGGCTGTCAAAACGGGTCGGCCCGCCCCCACCGCGGGCTTTTCTTTTTGCGGATTTTTGCGGGCCGGCCCGCGAAGCCCGCGGGCTAGGAGATATACAACCCAAGCCCGCCCCATGCGGGCTTGCAGGCTCCACGGGTTGGCCCGCGGGCTGGTGTTAAAATTTTTATAAAAAAAATAAAAAATGTCTAATAAGCATCTTTTCTTCTTCTTCTTCTAGGATTTGTTCTTCTGTGACTGAAAGGACAACATATTGAGGCCCCTAATTTAGTCTTCAATCCCAACCTCCTCCCAGATCAACTTGGACACTATTTCATCGTACTGCGGAACTTTATAAGTTTAAGACAAAATAAAAACAAAAATAAAAGTTGCCTAGTGGATTAGAGATTTTTTTCTTTAGTCTTAAACAATTATATTATATTATATATAGAGAGAGACAGTAAACAATAGTCAATTAGGATTAGGATTAGAAATTTAGGTTTTACCTCTTTTCTTTAGTCTTAAGCAGTTTCTTTACTGTTATATTATATTTTATAATTTATATATTATATAATATAATATATACAGATATTTTTTTTAAAGGGCTTGGCCCGCGGGTAGGCCCGCAACCCGCGCGGGCTATGGCCCTCCGCGGGCTAAGCCCGTTAGGCCCGCATTTTCACGGGCCTATTTTTT